TTCTTTCTCCGTGACCAGGTTTCTTTCCTGTGGTTAGAAAATAGCTCAGGCCTTAACCCATTTCCTCTGGCATATCCAAATTAATTAGGTGAGATCGGGATCACACATTTCAGAATTAGAATAATATTTATCAAACACCCTGGAGAGTGAGGAATGGAAGGCAGAGAGGAACCAGAGCAAAGAGGGAGGTCACTGAGCTGAGGAATGGACAGGACGAGGGGCTTACAGGGCACAGTGCTCAGATCTTCTCCATTGGAGAACAGGGCAATGGGAAAGGCTGAATTCTAAAGAATGTTAAGGACCCAATAGGGACCAGGAGCTTGGCCATCATTCCCTCATGGAATTGCATGTGGTCAGGGGGTTTATAAAGGGGCTTTGGGAAGCACATATTCTAGCTAATCCACCTGTGGTAGTTTGAATGTGATTGGCCCCCATAATCTCACAGGGAGTGGCACTAATAGGAAGTAGATATGGTCTTGTTAGAGGAAGTGTGTCACTGTGGGGGCAGGTTTTGAGGTTTCTTATGCTCAGGATACCATAGTGTCTCATTCAACTTTCTGTTGCCTGCAAGATGTAGGACTCTCAGCTACCACGTCTCCCTGCCCACCACCATGTTCCCCATCATGATGATATTGGATTGAAGCTCTGAAACTGTAAGCAAACCACCTACTTAAATGTTTTCTTTATAAGAGTTGCTGTGGTCGTGGTGTCTCTTCACAGCAATAGAAACCCTACCTAAGACACCGCCTTTCCTCCTACTGGGATTCCAATCAGCCTAGCCTATCTGACCACAGCCGATCACTCTGGAGCAGTTTCCTATAATCACGTGGTCTAGGTACCAGGGGCCACAGCTCAGCTGTAGCCCAGAGTTCTAACTCATTGTCAAGCAGCTAATCGGACTTCACTCACTTAGATCCACTGATCCTGCTGCTCTTTAGGGAGTTGATCATTAAGCAGGTCTTCTTGGGGAATGGACTTTAGGGGCTCCACAGTTGTAGGAGATGGAAAACCCACTTACATTGCCCCTGTCGACAAAAGTGTGGCATCGGACAGGTTGCCTTACTCCTTTCTGTGCGTGACACCCAGGCAAGTGCTCAGACTTGAGGGACTATGGAGACTCCAAAAGAAAGGACAGTCGCTTTAGAGTCTTCAGACTCTGTATCCCTAGACCTGCTGGCATTCAGTCTTGATGGGATGTTTGTAGAACTAGCCACTTAGTTCACCCAGTTCTGAGCAGATTTCTCTTGGGGGCCCCCACATCACCACTGTTGACTCTTGGTAACTGTCATGGTGGGCTGCCCGTGCTGTCCATTGTAAGATATTGAGCCTCATCTCTGGGTGCCACACAGCAGACACCAGCAGCACTTCCCGCCTTGCTTGTCAGGACAACCAGAATGTCTCCAGGTATGGCCAGCTGCTCCGGGACGGAAAGGTGGGAACAAAATCACTAGACTCTTGAGAGTCACTCATGTAGAGTCAGTCCAGCTGATCATGTGTTTAACCCCATGACTCCATTCTTCCTCCTGGCCATCAGAAAAGTAGACAGGTGTCTCTCTAGGCAAATGGGAAGCAAATCAGTGAGGTGTTTCCTCAGTCCTAGCTTTAATGAGATGTAATTTACCTAATGGAATATTCATCCTTAAATTTTCAAATGTGCAAGATTGTGGTTTGTATACGTTCTATCTTCAGCAGCTGCCCCATTGTTTAAACTTTTTGTATTATGAGCTTTTCCAAAGGAAAGCCCATACCTATAGCAGCCCCCTTTCTCCATAGGTGTATCCAGCCTGCTTCTTTATTTAAATCGAAGCTTCGGGTTGTCTCCTTTCACTTAGGGTGGTGTGTTTTGAGGTACTTGCATGCTATGGTGTCTATCAGTACTCCTTTCCTTTTTATGACCAATTTCTGTTGTGTGAGCACAACACAGTTTGCTTATCCAGTCATGAACCAATGAGCATTTGTCTTGCTCCTGCTCTTTGGCTATTATTCATAATGCCACTAACCTTCTTCAAATACAAGTTCTGTGCAGGTCTGTTTTCATTTCTCCTAGGAGTAGGCTGGGCCACATATTTGCTGTGTTCTTAGCATTTTGGGGACCTGTTAAACCATTTATCAAAGGAGTTGAGCTTTTATATTCCCAGCACAGGAATGTGAAGAAGTCATGGTTGTATCCTCATTGGCACTTGGCATTAACTGCCTGTTTGGTTATGGCTGTCTGCAAAGGTATGCGTAGACACCACAAGGTGACTTTTATGGGCCGTTTCCCTAAGAATCAGTGGTGCCATCACTTTAGAGAAATGCCTGTTTGAATCTTGCAGCCATTTTAAAACCAAGGAGTGTTTTATTGTCAACTTTCAGGGTTCTTTCTGTAGATATATTTTAAAAAATTATTTTATGTGTGTGAATGTTTTCCCCAAATGTATGTGTGCAAATCTTGTGCGTGCCTGATGTCTGCAGAGGACAGAAGGGCATCAGTTGGATCTCCTGAAACTAAGCTTATGGGTGATCTTGAGCCGCTGTGTGGGCGCTGGGGACTGAGCCCGGGTCCTCTACAAGAGCAACAAGTGCTCTTGTCTGTTATCCTCCTATGGGATATGCTTTACGAGTATTTCTCCCATTCTGTGGATTCTGCTAGCTCCTGTGGAGGTTTCCTCTGAGATACTGATGGTTTGAATATCTCCACTTGTCTCCTGTTGCTGTGTTTCTTGTATTCCCATATCACACATAAGAAATCATCACCAAATTAAGAAACTACAATGATTTGCATTTGTATTTTAAGAGTTTATAGTGCTTGGATTAACATTTAGGTATAGGATCCCTTTTAATCGATTTGTATGTATTTGTATTTGTATGTGATGTGGATTAAGATCCCAGCGTGGAAAGCTTGTTGCTCTAGAACAACTTTTTTTGAAAAATGTTCTTTTTTTACTGAATGGAATTTGGCAATTTATTTATTTATTTATTTTAAAAAAGATGTGTTTTTTAATTAGGGCATTCCTGCATGAATTTATGTGCACCATATGCGTGCCCAAGGAGGCCAGAAGAGGACAGTTGGATCCCTTAAAATTGGAGTTACAAATAGCTGTGAGTCACCCAACCTGAGTGCTAGAAACTGAACCTGGCTTCTCTGGAAGAGCACCATGCTCTCTTAACTGCTCAATCTTTTTTCCAGCCCTAACACTTGTCTTTCTTGTTGAAAAGATTTAAGTATAAATGTAGGAGTTTGTCTTGAATCTTCAATTATATTCCTTTGACCTATATGTCTATCATAATTTGTAATCCAGTCTTTTCAACCACAGAAAGGTGATAGGAAGGCGTGTTTAAGAATTAAAAGGGTGAAGGGATGAAGATACAAAACATGGGTGTGCAGTTGTAAAAGATACATGAAAGAATTTAGTTTTAGAATCAGGAAGTAAAGTTTGTCTTTGTATAAACCCTGTATTTCACTGATGGGGAAAAATTGTTAAATTTCTGTGTCAAAGACTAAGATTTATTGGTGATTCATGGCTCAGCAGTGGCAGACCTGGGAATTGGACCTTTCCTGTGACTCTCTCTCTAGGGCTTCTTCCCAGGCCCCGAATGATGTCTCTCTAGCCTGGACCCTGAACTAGTTGAGTTTCCTTCATAGAGCACCTGGCTTCTGTCTTAGCCCTCGCTGCCAGTTCAGCAGAGCGAACAGGGTAGGCGGAGAGTGTCTGCTCCTTCTTGACAGGCTGAGAGAATGGAAAGCCAGCTAGGCGAAAGCATTTGGAAAATGTGAAATTGCTGTATAAGTGCCACTAAATGAGAAGATTGCCAACTTGATGCTCTTCAAGGCAGGTTCACTGGGTCACAGGAACACAGAGGAAAGAAACAACTCACCTTAGACAGATCCATCAAGTGTCGTGGTTGTCACTTTCATGAGGATGGAGCTGTGGAGCTGGACTCGGGGACATGAGAAACCATGGAAAGGGCTGGGGTATCTCAGATGGGAGAGGCTTTGAAGGCACGTGCCTTAGGGAGACCCTGAGAAGGCGGGAGAGTTTGGGCTCTACTTATGCAAAATTGGAGGCATAGGACTTTGCCAGTAACCGGAATGATACTGAATGGGAGTGGCCTGCTGTGGCTTGCCACATGCTCCTCCTGTGCCCTTCCATCATTCCTAAGTGTCTCTTTTTCCCCAGGGCCAGTGGTTATCTCATGCCACATATAAATGAAGGATTCCTGCTTAAAACCTGGTGGCAGAAGGACTTGTCTTAATTTGTGAGTCCCTGGAGGACAGAAGTAGGCATCCCCGCTCCCCCAACTCTGCCATGATTGATGTCTGCTGAGTCCCCACTACATGCCTATTTGGAAGCTGATGCTTGGTGTGTGTCAATAAAGCCAGAGCTCTGATCATCGAGTGTCTGCCCTTGCAGTCTTGCTGTGTGTCGACCCATGTGCACATACCTCCTGCTCTAAACGGCATGTCTGCACCATCCATGCATCCTGACGCTTATCCTGGTTTTTGTTTTGTTTTGTGTTTGATCTATTTCTTTTTCACCTAAGACATGCTTTTCTTCGTCGCAGGAGCTGTAGGCTGCACTTCTGTGAGTCACCAGTTTCTAATATATGCTACATGGCATGTAGTTGGGGACGGAAAGGTTGGACTCCCTGACAGAAAGTAATCTCCTTTTCATTGGAGGAGCAGTAGCTCGGGTCATTCTGAGATACTGAGGATGCTGTTGTGGCATATATGGGTATCAGGAAAACTAGTGTTTCAAAAGGGCTTATTGTTTACAGATGTGGAATAAATTGTAGGAAAAGATACTATGCTCACAGTACTTTAGGGTCATGCCAACCTCTCTCCTCTACCCCTGTAGACCAGCGGCAAATGGAACCATCTTTTGAGTGTTCTTAACCTTATCTCTGGCTCCTTCTACAGGTTTTCAAACATTCAACAGAATGCCTATGGTAGTAAGCTGGCGTCTTGGTGGTTGTGTGCACCCAATCAGCGAGGTTCACTGTGTACTCTCCTTATTTAGGGCTCTGGCTGACATACTAAGACAACAGGGACCAATCCCCATAGCACACTGTGAAAGAGAAACCATCTCGGCCATCGATACCTCTCCCAAAGAGAACACACCGGTCCGATCAACCTCGAAAAACCACTACACCCCTGTGCGCACGGCTAAGCAGACTCCAGGTAAGTGAGAATTGCTCACTTTGAAGTTTTATTGATTCTTTTCTGAGGTTCTAGTGATGTTTCTGCTTTGACTGGGCTGGTCATGGAGCGCTGTGCAGCGCTGGATGTCCTGATAGACAGGACAGGCTTTTGTAAGAGTCTGGGAACTGTCCTCCTGTGAAGGCTTGGTATGCGAGAGATCAGGTCTGGGACAGATGAGGACTGGTGGCCCGTCTGTGATTTTTCCAGTGACTGGTGTGATTCTCTAATGTGAAGTAGAGTTTGGAGCAGCCACGGTGAAGTATGGCTGCCCATTTACCCATGTGACAAGAAGGTTTGGCATTGTCCAGGATGCCAGATACGTAAGAACAAAGGCTGCATTCTGACACAGAAACTGCTCAGCTATTGGAATCCCCAAGAGTCCTTTTTAAGGACTGCTATGGTATATGCATTTTAGGGTGACCCTTTCTTGTGAGATATAGGTTCCCTGGATATAGGATGAAGTGTCTTTTTATATATGTGGGAGCTGGATCTGAGACACCTGAGGGTACCAAAATCTACAGATGCTCAAGCCCCTTATACATAAATGGTCTGGTGCTGGCATAGTGCCACCACACATCCTCCTGTATACTTTAAGTGAGCTCCAGATTCCTGAGAAAATCTACTACACTACCAACATTATGAGACTTACTATGTCATGGACTTTAGGGAATAATGATGAGAAAATGTGTGTTCCTATTCAGTATGGTCCAGTTTGGGGTAATAGCTTTGATGCATGGTTGGATGAATTCTGTTGGGTTGAATCGTGTGGCTGGTTGGATCTGCAGTTGCATGTATAACTTGTAGATGTGGAGGGCTGAATGCGCCTTTGACTTTTTTATTTCATCATTATGATAACACTGTGAAGGAAACTGGGCAAGATTCCCTGTGTAATGGGTGAGTGAATGAAACTCAAGGAAGCTCAGTAACTTGGACAAGATCAATAGGGTATAAGAATAAGAAAACAAACCTGTAAATACCAGTAATATGTTGGGCTGTTGGTCTAAATATTACACAGAGACTTTTATAGGTATGCTATTATCTACTCTTTGTAGCAGTCTTGGAGGTATTTATCTCCCATTTTATATGTGGAATATAATATAAAGGTTAACCAACATTTCCCAGTGTCACATGGTTAGTAAGAGAACACCAGGTTTCAAACTAAGACAAATTGTTTACAGACGTCATTATTGAAAAAAAAAAAACCAAACCATTCTATCCTTCCCCAGCTAGGGACAGGGATGTAAAGTATCTGAAGGAACAGTCCCCTTACCAATATGTTGAGAAAGTTATCTCCCTATGGGAATTACCAGCTAGTTTAGTGCTGATCCCACTCCCAGGCACACGATTTCTGCTTTGGTACTTGGATCTGGAATCTTCACATCTGTCTCTTTATCCAGATTTCTGAACTAAGCCTGCAATAAGGACATACAACCACTAGGAGGCAGGCAGTAGGTATGCTCAAATCCTAATTGTAGCTGAGATCAAATTTATTCCATTTACATTTTAATTCTCTTGAATCTATCAAGTTGTTCTTGCCTTTAAGATAATAGTCTTAACTTTTTTAAAAATTCTGATTTATATTTTATGTGTGAGTGCTCTACATGTAAACCTGCTGCCAGAAGAGGGCATCAGATCCTATTAAAGATGGTTGTGAGCCTCCATGTGGTTGCTGGGAATTGAACTCAGGACCTCTGGAGGAGCAGCCAGTGTTCTTAACTGCTGAGTCATCTCTCCAGCCCTTGCCTTAAATCTTTTGAATATCTGACAAAAGCTGGAAATATTCTCTGAATATGTATGTATATGAATGCCACATAGACAATCAGCCAACAGTTTGTGAAGGATTCAAGGGATCCACAGGTCCCTCCAAAGTTAGGAGTCCCTGTTTTACATGTGAAGATGAGTCAATCTGCTGGACAAAAAGCTCCCCAGATGCATTCTCACCTTGAATACCCTAGATCATTAACATGGAACCAGTAGAGGGAATCTTGGCAGAAGCACCTGGATCAGTGGCCATCTACCAGGCTATGTACACGTTAGAAACACCTGCCGATATAGTAAAAATTATGGGGTCCAAGCACCATAAAGTAGGAGGAATTTCTAGAGATGAGGCTGACATTAGTGTATTAGTCTACAGAGTGAGCGGGTGCAGAGTCACTGGTCTGGTTGGATCCTGACCTTTTATGAGCACAGACTCTGAATGTCTCAATTCCCCAGTTGGCTACATGTTGGAATCCTATAGGAAACATTAAGGGAACCCAAGACCCCCTCTCGGATATCATGGCTTAATCAATGTGGAGAGCGTGGTTTGAGAATAGGGGAGGTATTTAAAGCCCCTCCAGTGCAAAGGTTAGAATCAGTTGACTCTGGGGATTGCCCACTGAACACCGTTCCTAACTTTAATGTCCTTGCCAGCTACGAGTATTTTTATTTAGCTGAAGATTCATCATTTGAAGTCAGTCTCTCCCAGGACTGTGGCGACGACTCTGGAATTTCTGGGCACAGAGGCATCAAAGTGTGCCTGATTGTTGATTCTCACCCTTCTGTTCAGTTTTTATTCTGTCTCATTTACTTATTCCACGGGTAGTCTTGGTTTGCCCTTAAGTACCCTTTCCCATTCCTTCTGGGTATATATGTATATATACAGTGAGTTGAGAAGGAAAGGCGCTGCTTACATGACTCAATTCTCTGGTTCAAGAAATCCCTCCTCGCATTTTTCAAATTACAACCCTCCACTTAGCTTTTTGAGATGGGAGTGCCTGGGAAGCATTCTCCGTGGTGAAGCTGAAATGTACAACAAGCGATTTCACAAACAAGCTACATCTTCTGTACTTATATCAAACAGGATGCTTTTCTAAATAGCTGCTGTCCTTTGCCACACACTGTTGCAATTTGAGTCACCATTTCAACAGAACTTTGGGCAAATGTTCAAAGTGGAAATTTACTGTGATATTCCCACTCGTTAGATCAACCGCCCACCGATTGTAGTAAAGTGGCAGAGGTCCTAGGGGGACATTAAGGAGGCGGGCATCAGAGCGTGCAGTGGCTCTGTCACTCAACGTGCCGTCCTGGGATCAGCTGCCTGGGGTCGCCTAGGAATTTGTGAGCCCTGCAGGGTCTGTGGTACCCCAGACTCTCTCAGCTGCAGAACAAGACCCTGTATGTTGACGAAAAAGCTTAGCAATTCGGATTTGAGAAGCAAGGAAAGCGTGGATTTGCTTGGGGCAAACCTTCAGGTATTATGTTTCTGATCATGCCCTTCTGAATCTCCTTATCAGCCACCAGGGCTGCTAGTTCCTGCAGTCTAGGTTGTTCTCAGGGTGCAAGTTAAACCAGGTTGAGCACTCAGACAGACCCTGTCCGTAGCAAACACTCATTACCAACCATGAGGAAGTGTATGCATAGCTCCTGGGAAACAGATTAAATCCATGAAGGAACTGGGGGTAACACGCTGGCATTCTTTTAGGCCAGGTGGAGTCTGTGGGGCTATGTCTGGCATGATCAGGGTTTGGGAAGTTGACGGCTTTGGCTCATTTGGTCTGAGGACTGGAGTGGAGGTCCTTGAGTGATAATGAAATATGTTAACCCATGTAGCATTAAGTATCATGCATTGAGCCCTTGTTATGTACTAAGTACTCTGTTCAGCACTTCAGGCATAACAGAATGGATCCTGTAATATTTTTATGTAACGGAACTTTCTAATCTCCGAGTCTTTTATTGATATTTTCCCCAAGAAACATCTTCTCAGCCTCACAGGGGGCTCCACAATAGGCATTTATTTGGGGCTAAAAAATTAGGGATGCCTCTTTGTCCCCCCACTTTTCAAATCTAATTGCCTATGAAGCCTCACAATTCAATCAGTGGTCCATGGACCAGCAGCAGCTCTCTAATGGGAGCTGGTTTGAATTCCTAATTGTGGCTACACCTTGGAATCATAAAAGGTTTATGAGACTATAATGCCTGGCTTCCATTGTGAACATTCTGCTTTGTGTGCTCTGAGGCACAACCTAAGCACTGATATACTGGTTTTAAAAGTTCCCTACCGTTCACATGATCAAGATGGAGAAGCGAGTTCTGGAGGGAGCCCACCAAATAGCGAGGAAGTCCTTTGAAGTGTGTGGAGTTCAAGGTCCAGACAAAGCCCTGGGATAGGGTTTGGGGATTGATAGAAAATGTTCTCTCATGGTGGATATGGCCAGGAGGTGTGGGTTCAGAAAGGGTTCAGAGGAGAGAGAGGGCAGGTAAAGGTGCATCTGAGAGGATCGTGGTAAGAAAGCAGCACCAGAATTAACAGGAAGACCATACAGAATCTTTCCAAGATCACACTCAGGGTACAGATCCACAGAGGTCAGGACCCTAGAGGCTTGATCTCCATAGAGGGAAGCTGTGGAGGCTGAGTGTGTGTACTTGGCCTGGGCTTCTCCTGAAGAGCTTGTCTTGGGGTATCTGCGGACAGTAGGGCATCCTCCCTGGCCATAGCCTATCTGTCATATTCCAGAATTTTGCTCTCCAACATCTAGGATCAACTGTGGCATCAGCCAGAGGTAGTGCATTTTTATGCTATGTGTCTAAATATGTACTGTGCATTATACAGGAGCGGTCACCTGCCTATTGTCATGGCCACAGCCTTGAATGGTCAACTAGGGGAGCCACAGGGTGTGAGGGTTGATGTCTTAGGGATTGAGATTAAAGACCGAGCAGCTGACAGGGGAATGCTTTGCCATAGCCCTTTGTGGCCTGTCCCACCATCCTTGGGAGCCTGGCATGAGATTCTACTGCCTTCTTGCTTCTCTCCACTGGCTCCACTCCTGCTCACCCCCTTGATTGCCCTTTTATTATCACACATACACACACACACACACACACACACACACACACGCCGAGTGCGCGTGTGTGTGTGTGTGTGAGGGAGAGAGAGAGAGAGAGAGAGAGAGAGAGAGAGAGAGAGAGAGAGAGATTTTATGTATATGCAGGTAAAACAC